TAAATTTCACGTAAATTGCTCCCTAAGCTATTATCTTTGTATTGTGAATTGCAAAAAAATATCAAATAATATTTGCATTAAAAAAAAATTGCAATAAAGAGTCTGTCACCTTTTTTTATTCATTTATTTAATTTGTTATAGACGATAATGACAAACTAATAACTAAATTGTATGACAAACAGGATAGCTTTTAAATCAGGTTTTCAATCGTTATATTTTCAATTTTTTATGCGACAATATGCTAATATTCCTGCATATTATTACCAGAATGTCACAGTCAGCAGGGGATATTTGCCCCCCTCCCCCCCCCCCCCCCCCCCCCCCCCCCACACACACACACACACTTAATTGTTACCTGATTCTCCCTTTGGTCTTTCCAGTAAATAAACCGAAAAAAGACTAGAGTCACAATTTTTATTCTGAATATCTTGAGTTTTATTTCACATGTGCATATATGTATAGTATTCAATTCAAACATAGAAGATGGAAATTTTTAATGTTGTAGTTTTATGGTCTTGAGGTCAGGGGATTCGTGTTTTGCCCTATTCTCGATTTGTCTTGTTATCTGGGTTTATCGTTGCTGCTCCATTGCCTTTAATATTGTCAGGTATTCCTGCAGATACTGTGTATATTAAACCATCTTCTCTTGAATTTTTCTACTGAAAAATAAATAAAATTTATTTATATTTTTTAGACAATTTTTCCATCCTCAAAAATGAGGTCAATATATATATGTATTCATATTTTTAAAAATCTTACTTATGAAAGCTTTTTTAAAATATTTTATTGACGACAAAGTTGGCTCTACCAAAACAGTTTCTTGAGTATTGTAATAAGTCTCTCAAATAATCCCCCCTCCCCTTAAAAAGGCAAAAATATCGGTAAATCCTTTTTTATATAGTTTATTTTCAAAAACAAATTAATAAGAACTTTAAAAAGTATAAACTCTCAAAGATCATTGAAAAAACAACAGCAGCTAATTTTACAGGTTACTACATTTAGGATCTACGAGAGATAAACGTTTGTATGATATATATATCACTGTATATCACTGAGATTATTGTTTATTTGTTTTGTTTATTAAATTATGCTACTATTTCACAAACACTGTTCCATGGCATAACACTATAATAATAATAATGATAATAATAACCAAAGGCTAGAAAAACAATAAATTACAGTTATGAAAAGTCTATTAAGACTAACATTTAAAAAAAAATCATCGCAAATTTTCTGCATAATTGATGAAATAAGCATTCATAATACAATACATAGGTTTGAAAACTTTTATTTATATTAAAAAATATTTGTTAAAATTGAAATTTTTCTTATACATTTAGTTATATTAATAACCCATCATAAAATTTTTTACCTGTCCAGTAGTTTGAAAGTGAAAACTCCTCTAAATTCCCCTAAAGGATATAAATATCGCTGTACATATTTAGTGCAAACACTGATGTCAATATAACTAACAAGTCTTAAAAGCGATGTTAATTACCCCTCTTAAAAAAGACCACAGTCATTATCACTCATTTTCAATACGTTGTGACAGTTGAAGACGGTTTTGCTATTTGCCCCCTTTGCAATTGTGATTTTTAATACCTGTTTTAAAGCGTGTTTTCGTTGTAGATTTAAAGATCTTCATATTCAATGTCACAAAACTGGAGAACGTTGGGGAGCAAAGAAGAAAAACAAGCCCCATATACTGTTCAATCATTTTAATTTCTGCGGGTCATTAATGGTGTACAGTGCATTAGCAAAATTCGGATGTAATTTCTTGTAAAAAACATATATCACAAATATTTAGTTAATAAATAAATATATCTACTAAATAATTTTTTGGGGTATATGAGTTCGTGTGATATTTTTCACCTCCTGCTTGAAGATGGATACAAAGTCATTTTACATGAAAACCTTCGAACAAACCAGGCGGCTTGGGGTCAATTACTTGTAAATGTAATTAATTACTTTCAAATACATTGATAATTTTCTCAATTACTTGCAATTACAATTACAGTGATTTTTTCAAAAATGTAATTAATTACTTTCAATTACAAAATTTTGACATAAAAAACAAAAATTAAATACATTTCAATTACTTGAGTTATATTTTTATGAAAAAAATAATACAGATTTTTCTTTAAATAATTTTTTTTCTATTGTGAACTTTCAATTTATTCAGTCCCTTTTGTTCTTGAGTATGAGAGGGGTTCACACCTGGACAATTAGACCTTTATCTAATGCCTTTGGCCGTGTGACACATTGTATTTTTATAAACAAATTAAACATTATGAGACATTAATAATTGTACAAACAGAAGCCCATGATACACCAGTATGGTGTATGGCAAGATCTTTTTTGTTACTCTCTCAAATCCATATTTTTGAAGAAAATAAATAATATTTCTCACAAATCCAATGAATAGAGTACAGGTAAATTTAAAAGGGGATGTAGTTAGTCTAATTACTGTGAAAACAAATTAACTATCTAAACAATCATTGTTATTTGCAAGTGAGAATAGGTAGAATTGAAATTTCTTAAAAATGGGAATAGGTAGTATAAACCTAATAGTATAAAAACTGTGTATCAGTATAAAATTTCATTTTGAAAAAAGTAATTGAAATATAATTGAAAATACATGACCTTTTTTGAAATGTATTTAAGTACATTCAATTACTTGTAATTGAAGGCTTGCTCAAATACAAATTTCTTCCAATTACTTTGAAAAATGTAATTAATTATGCTCAATTACAATTACTTTATTCAAAAACAATACTAATTTATTAAAAAATAAAATTTATGATCTGCGGTTTATTCTAAAGATAGAAAAAATGATGCTAACCAGATATTTTAAAATTCATCGATGTATCTACATTACGGTTTTAATTTTTAAAACATTTTTAAGTCCCTTATTTCCATATATGTATAGTAACAGCGATTGCAATGCACGTAATCTGCATCTTTTTGATTTTTTTAAATGTAGTTGACAAAATGTTTACTCTCAAACTAAAATGAAGAAATTATAAGACGTTTTTGAGACATTGATTACTATAGTAATACCCCGCTCTGATGAGAATATACACTATCATATTAATATACACAACAGCCAGAAACACAGATAAAGAGGAAGTTAACATCAGACTCGTACAAAAATTAATTCCATCAATGGCATGCCCCTCTGAAAAGAGTGTGCTAAAATTTCAAGCATCTGCAGTGAGTAATTGCTGAGAAAACTGCAACAAGAATTGTTATGTATGGTACAGACAGACGCACAGATAAGCAGGGAGTTGACAACAGATTTTAAAAAAAATAAATCCCACTACAAGGCATGCCTTAACAAAGAGTGTGCTAAAATTTCAAGCATCTGTCATGAGTAGTTCATCAGAAAACTGCGTCGAAAATTTGTTTTGTATGGTACGGACAAACGCACGGATAAACATGAAGTTGACATCGGATTTGAACAAAAATTATAATTCCATCATATGGCATGCCTCAGCAAAGAATGTGCTAAGATTTCAAACATCTGCAATGAGTAGTTGAAGAGAAAACTGAGACCAAAAATTTGTTACAGACAGACAGACGGAAACATAAGGGTAAAACAGTACATCCCCCTCTTCTACGGAGCGGAGGTATATATACCTATATGCTTTCAAATTTTGGAAAAATAGATTTTTTAAAAAAACTTCCCACAGTAAACACAATTGTTTTGAACATATTTTTAAAAATTGATTTTTAAAAATGAAGAGTTAATAAATATACATAGATGAATAAGGAGTTAAGGCTTACATAGGACTTTCACTATCGAACACAGATATGTACTTCTAAAGAGATGTTTTAATGATCTGTAAAATATAAACTTTCATTATTTTTAAATCCCTTTTTACTGTAAAACTACGTTTATTTTCTTAAATTGGTCTTTACAAAGAAGGAAATAATGATTAATACTATTCCAGGATGTAATCATCCAAAGATCTATAAGATGTGAGACCTAATATCATCTAAAATTACTTTTTTGGATGACATATTATTTTTATCCTATGAAATTTGATTTACTATGTAAATTAATTCGACGCAACATGATGAAATCTTTCCATTTTGGAAAGGTCTTTAATTAGCATATTTTAATAAAGATGTCTAAAAACATATAATTATCGACAAATTTATATTATTGTCGTCCAATTCTTTTTGCACGACTAATTCAAGTCATTAGGTGACACTAAGTTTAGAACAACATTATTTAATTTGGTATTTAATTTTATGTTAGTATTTAACTAAATTACGCATTTAAGCTATTGACAATTAATGCATAAAGCTTTAAAAAATAAATTACTTGTAAGGAAGAGGTCTTTTTATGAAATGCTTAATAGTTTCAAAATATAGACTGAGAAAATACATTACCAAAAATTTATATACTGCAGATTTGAAAAAGACAGATTTACATGTAGTTTAAACATAAAAAGGCTAACAGCCATAGTATAGTTTTTTGATCATGGATTCACTTTCAAAAATTTCTTTCAACAAACACAGCTGACAGAAATTTACAAAATTTACATCACCACATAATAACAAATTTGACCTATTCGTCAAGTAAAAATAGGCGATTAAAAAGATTATTCCTAGCGTTTGGATAATTTAAAACAACAAAAAACAAATTAACAAAAGCATCAAAAGTAAATGCAGTTATAAAGTACAAGATTCATATCTTTATGAATACGTTTTTAATTTACATTAAAAATTATTATACAATTAATTGAAGGTTAAAAAATAAAATTTATGCAGCTAGCTTGCAAATTTTCAATCTTTGTCAATCGATCAATCGAGAGAAAGAAAAAAAAAATTTTTAAATTTGATATGACAAAGGGCAATGATATAGAACAAAGAAGAAAGTTGTAATCATTAATACATGACGCATGAAATATTTCACTTAAATAAACTGATTGTCAAATATAGACGTTTAGACCGCAAAATAGGGAGGCCTCAGGAGGAAATGGTTTACTTTGCTGAATCAGTTTACTTTTGTAACAGCCAATCAAGTAGATTTGAACTCATGACGTAACAAGATGATATTGGGTATAAAAAGGATCGAATTATGGATGATACGGTACCAGACAATCTCAGGAAACGGTCCCTTTATACTTGTCTAATATTCAGAAGGTAAGAAATGGAGAAAATTGATTATCAAACACTAACAAATAAAAAGTGAATAAATTTTCTACATTAAATGATTTATATTCTTAAAGTTGGCAAAGAAAAGAGAATAATTCAATTCCCTAAACTATAACCATTTAAAACCTTTAAATCTATAAGAACAAAACAAAATTATATATTAAGTTTGTAAATTGAATATTTTTAATTAGGCCTTTCATTTTGGAACAAGAAGAATAATTGACAAATTTTGTATCGAAAAAAAATCTTGAAATTAATTGACTAAATCTTTTAGTAAAATGTGATTTTTTAAAAAACATTAAATCCATATTACACAGTTCAAGACTATCTAATTTCATTTTTTTTTTTTTTTGGTTTGTGCATTTTTCAATAACAGATCCGATTCAAATATGCTAGTTTTAACCAGCCATATGATTTATGACTAGGTTTTTGTACAATGATACTTTCTGCTTAAAAACCACAAAATGCATATTTATTCTAGTAAATTTTAATTCCATTGTTCGAAAGAATTCTTTTAAAATTTAACACAAAATTAATTTTATGTGACGCAATATAAAATGCTTATGTTGACTGATGGTACTCTTTGGAAAAATTAACTATATTCACAACAAACGAAATTGAACATTGTAGGTCAGGATGATCCGTTTCTGTATAGCCACCCTCTTGGTTGCTTGCGTCGCAGCCGGAAGTTACGGTGTCCACAAACCCGTCCACCATGGTCCCGTTCACGGACCAGTTGGTCATGGTCCCGTACTTCAACATGGATCAGTCAACCATGGATCTGTGCACTTGAACCCTTTTGCTAGAGGACCCGGTCTGCAGCACAGTCCCCTATGGAACGCTTTGAATAATGGCAGAAGAACCTTGTCTGGATCCGGTGGTCACATCTCAAAATCCCTCACTCACCATGGTAAATCCATCCACGTGAATGATGGTCGCAACACCGCCACCGCCACTCACCACCACGACGGTAGCGTAAGCGCCAACGTTCTCCCCAACCACGTCTTAGGTCAAGGTATTCACCCCTCAGCTGTCCGCACTCTTGGACAAGCTGGTCGTGTTGGATCTTTGGGTCCAGTTGGTGCAGGTGGACCTTTAGTCGGTGGGCCAGCTGGACCATTGATCCCAGGACCTGGGCCATACGGACCCGGACCAAACCTTTCTGGTGGACTTATTGCCCCTGGACTTAAAAGAGTAAGATTTCTTTAAACTGATTTCATTTAGCTTTTATAAAGTTATCAATTCTGTTTGAATACAAATATTTACTAAACGTATATTTTCATGCATCCTGTGAGTTGTAATCTTAACCTTTAAAGGGACATTGACAAAGTTAGCAACTTTAGTTTACAATTCATAACTATGGCCATTCTTATGATCAGCAAAAAATTTCAACATTATATATTGATTTACAAAGGAGATACCGAACTTAAAATTCTTCATTATGTAAACAAGGATGGTGCCTTGCTTTTGTTTACATACAGAAAATATTATATTTATATCAAAAAGAAATTCAGCAAGTAAATAAAAACCCTCTAATCGTATTTAGAATTACCTTCTTTTAAAAAAAATGCTTTGATCCAACATATATATGTATAATTAACCTAAGTAAACAAAAACATGGCACGTGCCCTGTTTACATAACAAAGGTTTGGGGCTCTAAATCTGTCTTGTGTCTAGACAACTAAAATTCAAATTTTTGATGATCATAAGAAATATTTTAGTTAAATATTTGCAAATATAAAAAAACGGAAAAATAGATTTCAAAATTTAAGCTGAAACTGTGTTCATGTCCCTTTAAAAAGAAACGTGTCATAACTCAATGAAAAAAGAAGGAAACAATTTTTAAAAATAGCAAAATTCTAGTGAAAATTTTCATATACAACATACTAGTACATGAATTTTATTTTTGTTCTTTTGCAGAAGGGTGGCTACTAAAGGACTGCTGTTCTCTAGGTAGATCTTGGGTGTGGAGTGAGATATATGTGTCTGGTGTACATGTGTATATCAATAAAATACTCAAAAAATTCTTAATAGAGTTATTCCAATTTTTGAAATTAATTTTCCTTTGTTTTAATACATATTTTCATTTGAGCGAACAATTTATTGATGGCATCGACCAATTCAAATACAGCTGCAAAAGCTATCCAAGCATATAATTATGACAGTTAGCAAACAAAAGGAAACAATTATTTAAATATAATTTGAGTGTGATAAATTACTTGTTCTGACATAAAAATTATGCATGACATCACTTAAAATAGCTCATTTTTAATAGAGTTCACACGTTGCATCGAATTTGTACAAAATCACACATAAATATTAATGCATTAATAAAGACCTGTTTTTGATTTTCATTTATCACAATTTAAAAAAAAAAAGCAACAGAAGTTGTTGTGGGTTTTTTTTGGCTTACATATTGAGTTATCTTGCTCTTTGCTATCTAAGTCCCTTTTTTCCTTTGGGAAACATCAAATATCTGTCTTATCAATTCATAAAATAAGAGGTTGACGTTTGCACTTTGTTTTAAATATTCTGTGAAAGTTTTTCGATGGTATAAAAGGAGTTGTTCTAAGTTGGATACTTCCAAAATAATAGAAATAATGACAAGATCCAGGGCTTATATTGAAAAACCCCAAATGTATGTCCGACCAGAGCAAAAAAAAAGAAATTGCAAAATGACACCATGTTAGATATTCTGTTAAAATCTCATTAAATTGTTTTCTGTGTTAAAAAATGGATAAGAAATGGGTATCCATAATGTTATAAAGGAACATACTGTTCATGTTTTGTAACTGAAATCCTCAAGTATTAGCCGATCAAAAAAATGAAATGCGTGGTACACAATGCCATTTTATGTTATCAACATTTCGTGAAAGTTTCATTGAATCTCATTTAGAAGTAAGATGTAAACAAATATCAACAGTAAATCTTAATTGATAATTGATAAAGTTTCATGAATACATGTACATTTTTTTTCGTTTAATAATTTTAATCCATTCATATCTTTATCAAGTATCGTATTTAAACATATTTTTTCTATAAAGACCTTTTTTTTTTAAAAAAAAAAACCTTGTGTTTTCAATATATTTCATAGATTGAAAAACCTAAAGTATATTTTATAGATTTAAAAACCTAAAGTACACGAGCTTCACATTTGTTTAAATGTTAGACTCACATAAACTTTGTCTGATTTTTGGTTCATAAATATGACGTGTTTGTCGTTAAAAAGTGAAATAAAATGCAAGTTAATAACTTGTCCAAGCTACCTAAATTTATTCAAACCCTTACGAATTTAGGGGGGAAAAGTTTTTAAGTTTATCGAATAATAATAATATGCACCATGATTTTTTGTGTTGTGTTTTTGTGTTGTGTAATTGTTATTTGCAAATTGTTTGACAATATGACACTTTCCTTATATCTATTAAAAGGAAATCAACATTTCCTTGTATGAAAAATAGATCATTATTTTTATGCATATATTGTAAAGAAATCACCAACCATATTTAAATTTCTAATTGTTTTACAAACAGGCCTATAATTCTTACTTTAGCTCAACGAAGTAGGGTTGTTTAGGGGGTACAAGTGCATATTTAGTTCTCCCTATTTCTGATTGTTTTCAATTATTCTTGGTAAAAAATGTACAAATAATATCGTAAATCAAATAAACTAAATGGTTTGTGTACTGAAAAAAGTGGTCTTAAAAACTAACACAAAGCTACGAGCCATTATATCTTATAATAGCACTGTTAAATGAAATTAAGCCACTTCAAAGAATTGTGGTTCCCCTCTGTCGGTGTCTTATTGGATGGGATGTCATTATTTATGGTATATTGTTTCAAATTTGAAAGCTCTAATATATGTTATTCAAAATTAATCACCAACTGAAAGTTAATTATGTTTCTGAAAATCACGTCAAACATGAAGGTCAAGCGGTTGAAAATCACTTCATGCTCGGACACATCTCGTTACAGGTAATGCACGTCAAATATGAAATTTTGAAACGCAGCTCAAACTTCAAGGTCACTGGGTCAAAATTCGTTGTACATTTGGAAAGGTCTTGTCACAAGTAATGTACATGTGAAATATGAAAGCTCCATCTCTCTCATTGGGAAGTTATGACCAAGGGTAAAGTTTTCGACGGAGAGACAGACAGAAGAATGAGATTTAATGTCCCCTTGATTTGCGAAATCGGGGTACAATAATGAAATTGAAATACAAAATTGCAATAATCGAGCTCTTTATTAAAATTGCCTGTTTTATGTGGCAAATGATATACATGTATATTTATTTAAGAAAGAAACAAACAATTAATGCAACCTAAACCTGGATTGAGTAGAATTTCGAATGACTAAATCTATATATAGATCTAATAAAAATAAATCCAAACATTCATTAAGATGAGATATGGTTATATTGAACAGTAATCAAGATCAAAAGTACACTGAAACAATACAAAACAGAAGAAGAGTAGGTGGAACTGGGTGCCATGAAGGAGAAGGCATCTCCTGTCGACCGGTCACACTCACAGTGTGATCGAGCAAATTGAAATTTAAAGTGTAAATAATGTCCGAAAAATAAGTATGAAAACGTCGGTCAGCATTCGACTTAATGATCTAGATAGACTATGTTTGATGACTATAATATGATAATCATTGTATGGACCATAGAACCTGCAATATTATACAATTATGGACTTCAGTGTAGGTCGATATGTGGTTATCAGGTTTCATGGCAATTGATATTGACCGAAGACACAGAAAGTGATAGCGACCGAACCTGCGAGGTCCCTATCATTTTCTGTGTCTGAGGTCAATATCAATATTGCCACGAGTCCTTATATCCACATATTGACCGTTCACTGAAGTCCATAATAGTTATATTATAAATCACTCAAAGTGAATGCATTGATAGTCTTAACTGAACGGACTTGGCTGTCATTACGTCACAATGGCTAAAACACGCTTCATATTTTATGACGTCACGTTTACGTAACTTTGGTGCAACCGAACAGTGTGTCGTGCGATATCATTTTCCGCGGACGCGCTTTTGCGTCGACATCACAAAAGGAGGAATATCACGTGACGTTCTTTCAGCCAATGAAAATTACGAAAATAATCTTCTTAAATAATATATCAATTTTAATTAAGGCTGTTGATATCTTTTTTCATCGATTTTTTTGTCAATAGTTTGCCTTGTTTAGAGAATATTTCGTACGTAACGCATGCTCTTGCATATTGCAACAAGAAGACACAAACTGCATATATGATATCCACTCGATGTGATTATGGTGCATTAGTGCAAAAACGATAGAAATGTTGAAGGCTTTACTCTATTATAAAGTTTTGTTTTTAGGTTATCATATATGTCTTTTTGTGTGAAATTATTAAATATGAAAAACAGATGTGTGTTTTGTATGCTGTTTTACGTCGCAAATTTTTACTCATATAGAAACACCACCATATACCGTTGAAGGGCTTCAATTTTGGACCTTTACACGACATTTGGGGCCATTGAGCAATGAGGGTCGTTAACGTGCCAAATCTTACCCTGAAATGGATCTCGTTTTTCGCCGGGATCATTGCACGTAAAGCAATGCCCGGCTTTTGCTACAGTGTTCAACAGGAAATGCTGCTTCACCGCTTAATCAAATTTACGCTTTAGAATATAGTACGTTTGCGCAATCACCTTTAGGCAATACAAAGTTTCAAAGTTTTCTGAAATTGTCAAAAAATAATTAAAATACAATGTAATATACTTTCTACCGTCTTCTTCGATTAATTATTTGTTTGAAATACGCGAAAGGTTTTTATAAGGTATCCCTGTCTGCGTCATATTCTATAAATAAAGGTTGTTACTATCAGGCTAACACAAATGCTGGAAACATCATTAATGACTTGATGTACGCTTTGATGCAAAACTCCCCGCTGAGGACACATCTGTGCATAATCCTTTGACCTTACTTAATCTTGCTGCATCAGTATTAATTTTACTTCTGTTGGTATATAAAACCCCGAAACGATACATGTGATAAATATTTAGCGCTGTTAAATTCACTTTTCCTAAGTATTAAGAATAAAATCATAATTTGTGATAGTGCAAGGATGTGTCAATCAAACCCGTCTAAAAATTTGAAGTTTCAATAACTTTAAGATGAAATAAAATTTTTGATACATTTTTGTGTGAAATGCTATTAAAATATATAAGTCGTGATATTTTACAGAAAATATTAACTTCAAATTTGTGTCCATGCACCTTTAAATGTAATGTAAACTATTTCATAAATCATTTTTAGCTCTTCCAAAACCAAAGAATAATAATGTGTTAATTACCATAGCAACTTAATATTATTTAATGAAATATGGAGATAAAATTTCCCCGAAAAGAGTGTTAATTTGAGAAATTAATTTAAAAACAGTTAATAAAACTATTACAATTACAATTTTTAAAAATCACATTTGTTTTCAAAGCATATTAAACTTTATGTCATGAATAATAAATATATAAACTTGTATAAAATAATAATAAATATTTTTGATGCTTTTCCTATCTGTAAATGTTAATTTACTTTAAACAATATTTTATTATGAATAAACATAATTGGATTGGACAGCAGGCACTGTCTATATAAGTCCTTTCCACAATACAAGGTCAAAATCATACATGTACAAGTAAACATTATTAATATAACATTGAAAAATATAAATATATACATGCATATATTCAGTAGAAATGTATATGACAAGGCAAATTAAGGAGAACAAAAAAAGAGAAATACATGAGCTGATAATATAATTTAAATTTATATTTTAACATATATGACTGACAATTATATTAATAATTGTATAAATTTTAAAAAAAATGAATAAGAAAACATAAATAGGTTTTGGTTCTGTGATTTGACAATTGAAAAAACAAAAGCAGATAGAATATCATGCAAATCGCTTTGTAGTTGCAATAAATTCTTGAACAAGTTTAAATATTGCAATATTTTGGTTGTATGTAAGATTATATATATTGTCTCCATTTAGAATAAGTTGTAAACATAAAGGCATTGGTAATTGCAAAGTATTAAAGTTTTGTATTAGGTTCTGTCTTTGCATACAGTAATTTGGACAATTCATAAAAAAGTGGTATGATGTTTCTGAACTAGACCCGCACATGTCACAACTTTTATCTTCCTTTAAAAAATGATTAAATAAGTCAGCATTTAAATTACTAGCATTATTTCGCAACTGACAATGCAATATATTCATTTTACGACTTCCATAATTGTAATATTTCTTAGGTTTTATGCAGTATATATTCTTTATGGCAGTCTTGAATGATGTAAGTGAAGAAAGGTTTCGGATATTAAATGGTAAATCATTCCAAAGTCTTATAGTTGAAGGGAGGAAACTTTTCATAAATGAAGTTGTTTTGGCTTGTGGAATATGAAATGTAAGATTGTCCTGATTCCTTAAGGGATAAGAATTATCTGGAAGAATGCATTGTTGTAATAGATCTTGCAAATACTGGGGTGCTAATCCATACACTATTTTATAAAATAACACTAGTTTATGTATTTTTCTTCTTATTTCAAGAGTATCCCAGCCAAGCTCTTCATAAAGCTTTGATCTTGATGAATTGATTCTTAAACCGGTTATTATTCGTGCAGCTGCAACTTGAACATCTTCAAGTAATTTTGCATCTCTTTCAGTACAATTATACCATACAAAAACAAAGAATAATAATGTGTTAATTACCATAGCAACTTAATATTATTTAATGAAATATGGAGATAAAATTTCCCCCAAAAGAGTGTTAATTTGAAAAATTAATTTAAAAACAGTTAATAAAACTATTACAATTACAATTTTTAAAAATCACATTTGTTTTCAAAGCATATTAAACTTTATGTCATGAATAATAAATATATAAACTTGTATAAAATAATAATAAATATTTTTGATGCTTTTCCTATCTGTAAATGTTTAATTACTTTGTGCACTATCGCATTTGAGAAAGTTCATTCACAATTGAAGTAAATTATTTTGTGAAAGTCATACAATTGTAAAATTCCAGCCATTTAAGGAATTACATGTATTTGATCCACTTATCATTTTGGGCGGAAGTAATATATGTGTTGTCGATGCTAAATAAATTATTTTTTCAACAGGAAAGTGTTCAGTGTCAGTTCAGATAGAGTGAAGCCAGGGGGCCATGAACACATTTTACAAGTATGTATGTATTTAATATCTCATTTAAAATCAACACATTTAAGTTTTAAAGTCAATTTATTCAATCTGATTATTAGTATTTGTTCGTTTATTTGACCATAATTAAAAGTAATTTGCTAGAAATACAATTAATGTAAGATCGCACTAACAAGTATTTCTGTCCCCTTGCATATTGATTTAATATAGATAACATGATTATGTTGCATGTAAATCAACTCACATTGATAAGGAGCAAGCCAACATAATTACGACTAACTAAAAAGTAATTTGCTAGAAATACAATTAATGTAAGATCGCACTAGAAAGCTTCATGCTTACACAGTGTAAAATTATTCTTATCACAAAGTACATGAAGTATGTTTCTAGATATCTATTTCCTTAAAGATCATTCACGAAAATTTTGAAGGTTTTTATTCAAATTACAAATGTTAAAATATTGATCTTCTGTTAGATATTACATCTCTAAATGGGTTTACATGTTCTTAATGACAGAAAAGAGAATGTAAAGTCTATTTGAGCATTTACAGACATTAAGCATGCGTAAAATTTAATTGATAAACTTAGTACCAAGGTTTAATACATGCACTCATAACACTTAGACTTCATATCAAATCCTCATCAAGGATAATAAAAATACAAGTAGAATGTGTATGGATAAACTAATTACATCCAGATACAGTGAAACCAGAAAATAATTCCGTGTTTATATTAATAACATTGTATAAATTTGTTTTGGTTCAACATGTATTGATAAAATATCATACGCAATAAATTCCAGAGAGCATAAAATGAGATCTACGATTTCCTTTAATTTATTTAATGCTTTAGTCTTTTTTAGTCTAATGAAACTATTCAAACATGAAAATGCTATATTGATTAAATACAATTAACATAATTATGTCACACGTAAATCTACTCACTTTGATAAGGAGCCAGTCGGCATAAGTACGAGTATCTTAAATGCAAACATTATTATCGTGCAGGTTGACAAGTTATACTGCATGCAGCAAAAATATGTCATCATATGATGCAGATACATATTAGACGTTTTTCTTCATAAAATGACAATAGACCTATTTCCTTTCAGTTAGAACAAAATGGCAGCCGCTGGAAGAAGAGGTAGAGCTTCCTATGATGTAACGTCTCCAAGAAGAAAAATCATAGCAGGTCCTAGTCATACCCCAGCACAACCACCAAGTGTTCAAAATTCCAAAGCAAAGAAAAAACATTTCAGAGATACCAAAGCGACCACCTCAAATTCTCTTGAACTTCCAGAAGAAACACCACGCACTCACAGATCACCGGCACCAACACCTCACAGGTCACCAGCACCACCATCTATCGAACTGCCACCAACGCCTCATTCCTTTGAGCTCACTGCGCCGACTCCACATTCTCTTGGAGCCGTTCCCCCTCGCTTCTATACAAACTTACTCATGAATCACGAAGAGCCAACAAATATGTACACATGCAAAAAGCATAAGGGCGAGTTACTAGAACATTATTGTGAATGTTGTCATGTGGTTGTATGTGGCTCTTGCATGGCATCTGAGGAACACAGGGACCACTTTTGTACGATCTTGTCTGATGTGTTTGAAGAGAAAAAGGGTTATTTGATGACTTTTTTAAGTACTTTGGAGGGAAGTACAATGAAAAAATTGGAAACCCAATTGCGGTCATCGGGCGAAAATGTCTCAAGATATGAAGAGAAGGTACAATGCATAGAATCGACAATACAGTCTGAAAAAGAAATGCTTAAGAATGAAATTGATCGAGCTTTCTGTTTGGTGGAGAACGAGCTTTCTGTCATGAAGCAAATAGACATGGGAAAACTGGAGAGCGAACAGGAGAAAGTTAAATCTCAAATGAAGACAGTCCAAAGTTTCATAGACGAGGCTAAGCGCCATATCAAAGGCCAAGACAAGTTTCGTTTGCTGCAATTTATGAATGAGCTTCCTTCGCCCGAGGATATGACACGAAATTGTGTATGTATGAAAGTCGAACCGCCAATTTATGATAGTGCAGAAAAGGACTTTGGATTACTTAGTTCTTTTTGTGGATCCATCCGCGAAAGCAAACAGCTACCTGATCAACACAGCCCTCTTGTGTCTCCAAGGTTCTTTCGTAGATTACAAAGACAAATGTCGAGAACATTAATGCATCTTCCATTTGTCATCAAATCGTTTGAGATTGGACTACAATGGGATTTGAACTTGAGTCCCTGTAAATCAAAACCAGATTGTATCTGGGTTGGCTATAAGCAAAGCAAGATCGTTTTAATTGATAGCAACGGACAGAAAATGAAGAAAATTAAATTTGGATTCCATATGGAAGATTTTGCAGAAGCGAAAAGTAAAGATATTTACGTCACATTATTTAAAGAAAGGTGTATCAAGAGATGTGCACCAAACGGAAAGGTGAAGAAATTCTTGGAAACTTCAGATTGGTCACCAGTTGGAATATGCACAGACAGGAATGGCGATTTGCTGGTGTGTCTGACAAAAGACGATGTTGGAAAAGTAATGAGATTTGGAAAAGAGAAAAATATAATCCAAGATGTGATTCCCCAGAGACAAGGTGCGCCTCTCCTTAGCAAACCTCACAGAATAACCGAGAATGCAGACCACGCAATCTGTATTCTCAACCTGCCTGATAGAAACGTGGCCATTCTACATGGCAATATGGCGTACAAGGCTATATACAATGGATCAGGGGATAAGCAAAAGAGAGCCCAATTCTATCCAACGGCAATCTGTACCGACAAGCGATGCCATATTCTGGTGGCGGATCATAACAACCACTGTATTGACTTGTTGGATAGGAATGGGAAGTTTATGATGTACCTCGTTCGGGAGGACAAGATAAACAATCCGCGTTCTCTGTGTGTAGACGGGGATGGGATGGCCTGGGTAGAATACCTTAATGGAAAAGGGGGATTCAAAATTCTCATGTATTTATCGTAAATTTGTAAAAAGATGTCATTATTATTGTAATAAATCGTTCAACATTATATCTTAATTGTAATTGTACAAATTATAGTTTCATGGTAGTGTAAATGTACTTTTGCTGTATTACAATTTCCGTTTAATCTAGCTGCTGGTAGAAAAATACGCTGATATATTGGATAACCATCTCACAAAATATGTTAGACATACAATTGTAGCATAAATAAATCCAGGATGAAAATTGCATGTCTTCACAATTTTTCAAAAAAGCTTGGTCCTGGTTGTACTATGAAGCAAAGATATCAAATGCATAAATACATGTAAGTTGCTTTGAAAAAAATATTTTTAGGAAGAATTATAATTAATGTCTTAACTAATGTTGGACAGCACGCTTGGCGAAAACTTCATGAAGGGAGATATTATTTCTCTATTTCTATATCTAAAAAGTAAGATTTCAAAAAAAAAAAATGGACATAAATATACAATAAACTCAGATTAACTTTTATATTTCTATTCAATTTAAGTACACATCAATTGAATAAAGTCAAAGGGGGAACAGGCTTTCTCTCTATTGAATTAATATTAAGCTAAAATATATTAAAAATACAAATATTTCTAGAAATTGTGAACGGGAAGTAAAATTTGCCGCTTCAATTGCTATTTCGAGATACACAAATTCTAAAATAAAGGAGTGCCTCATAATAAGTGTAAACAGGAAATATTGATCAAGGATATTTAAACATGTGTTTCACGTTAACAGAAAATGATGGGCATATTCTAATAGAAAAACATAAACAGTTTTTATTATTATGAAATTAAAAGTCAACAATTCCATGATTCATCTATGTTTATCGTTCCGCAAAATATGGTATGAAAAAGAACTATTTGAAGCAAAATGCCAATTGGCTTATCCAGTGACAGTGTAAAAGCCAGGCTTCTATTTAACACAAAACACGCTTTTGCCAGTAGGATATATTATAATTATTCATCCCTGTTATTGTCACTCAATGTAGTTGACCTTATAATAATTTTGGATCTAGATCATATATCTATTCCACAATCATGACAAAAAAGATATTTTTTTAATCTTAATTAAAGACGGATGTTTAAATGTCATCTTCATGCACTGTCCTTTAAAAGACTATATTAAATGACATACATTTACATTCATTGTCATATTCTTTTTAATAAAATCCATTGAAAAACTACCACATTTAACCCCCTTATAAAACATCTGAAACCTTGCCTAGTAAATACATAGAAAGGGTTTCATCACCATTTTCCAAAAGAATTGGTACCAGACCACCAGTATCCTTCTATTAAAGTTTCAGACCTCGAGCAAGGAACCTTCAATATTTTCATGCTCAATGTCCTTTCACTTTCTAGAGTACACTAAGTAATAGAACTTGGAGTACCCATCTTGTAAACTAGAAAAAGGACTATCACTATTATTAGGAACTCGTATCTGACCACTAAAAATCTTCCCTGAAAAATTTAAGACCCAGTTGGACATTTTTAAATTGCAAATTACGACCGAAAACATTGATACAAGTACTGCGATGTACACCTGGGAATTATGCGATCAATATTTTTTCAATTTTTATATGCTCCCAGATTTCCGTCGAATTTTAACCAAAAGTGCCCTCCTCCTCTCTTGTTATTGACAAATAGATTTCACTGTATCATTTCTTAGTACAAGTTAAGATGTTTGAAAATGTAGCAATGTTGATTAATCTAGGGTGTTTATAATGCAAGTAAATGAAGTCTGTAAAAACAAAATAATTTTCATTTTAGGAAAAAAATAATAAGAATAAAAAAAATTTCTATTTAGGCAAAAAATAAAATAAATCCTACTTTCCTAGATGCAGTATGTATACACCTGGCAAATAATTCCATCGAGCATTTCTTCTGCATAAAAGAAAAGGTTTGACGGGATATTTGACATTTTCAAAGAGACATATATAACAAATAGACTTTAAAAACTATCAAGTAAACTCGTCTCTATTTTCTAATTTTGTTATGACCTAAAATTCCATCTTTTAAACTAAAAGCAATAAGATGATGTTTTTGATACAATTTTTTAAAATAATATTCGCGCAATTATTTGTCGACCCTGAAAAGAAATAACTTAAACTAGGAAAATAACATCGTGTGCGACATTCATATTTGTATTCAAGTTGTGATTTTGAACCCTAAAAGTCAAGTTAATTTCATAGATTTTTTTATTTTGGTGTGACCCCTCCCCCCCCCCTCCTTTTTAGCTCACCTGAGCAGAAGGCTCAAGTGAGCTTTTCTGATCAAAATTTGTCCGTTGTCTGTCGTCGGTGTCGTCGTCGTAAACTTTTCACATTTTCATCTTCTTCTCAAGAACCACTGGGCCAATTTCAACCAAACTTGGCAAAAGTATTCTTAGGTAAAGGGGATTCAAGTTTGTTCAAATGAAGGGCCACGCCCTTTTCTAAGGGGAGATAATTATGAATTAGTGAAAAATTAATGGCATTTTTAAAAAATCTTCTTCTCAAGAACCACTGGGCCAAGAAAGATGAAACTCATATGAAATCATCCTCAGGTAGTGTCAATTCAAATTTGTTCAAATCATGACCCCCGGGGGTAAGGTGGGGCCACAATGGCCGATCAAAGTTTTACATAGGAATATATAAGAAAAATATCTAAAAATTTTCTTCTCAAGAACCACTGAGCCAGGAAAGATGAAACTCAGGTGAAATCATCCTCAGCTAGTGTAGATTCAAGTTTTTTCAAATCATGACCCCCGGGGGTAGGTTGGGGCCAAAATGGCTGATCAAAGTTTTACATAGGAATAGATAGGGAAATCTTAAAATCGTCTTCTCAAGTACTTCAAAGCCATGATTAGTGATATTTATGTGGAAAATACCCCCACGGATAGGTTGGGGCCACAATGGGGGATCCAAGTTTTACATTTAAATATATTTAAAGAAATCTTCTTCTCAAGAATAACAATACCATGATTAGTGATACTAGTATCTATATGGAAGCATTTTCGGGTAGTGTAAATTTAAATATGTTCAAATCATAACCCCCAAGGGTAGGGTGGGGCCACAATGGTGGATCAAAGTTTTACATAGAAAAATAAAGGGAAAAATCCAAAGAACAGAAAAGCTATGTTTAGTCATATTGACATGTAAGCATCCTCATGTATTGAAGATTTAAATTTATTCAAATCATGGCCCTTTGGGGTAAGGAGGGAAATAATGGGTAATCAAATTAAAATTATTATGAAGTCATATATAGGAAGAAAATGTTTTTAAAAAATCTCTTTATCAAAAACATTAAAGTCATATGCTGTGTTAATATGAAGGCATTCTCAAGTAGTATTAAAATTTAAGCCCCACTCCCTCCCTCCTTTCAGTAAACTTTTCAGTTCTGATCTGATTTGTGCTTTTTCCTAGCCGATTTGCTCAGGTAAGCGATGTGGCCCCTGGGCCTCTTGTTTAACATGAGAGCACAAATGCATGTTCCCTTGCTTCTAAATGTTAATAAATAGTTACAAGGTGAAATTTACCTTTCATGAAGAAATCTTTCCATAATTGTCAATCTTTGAAGTTGTCCTTGTTCTTTTGTTTTGTTTTGTTTTGTTGATTTTTTTGGCTTTAAAATACTGATTTTCCTTTATTAAACAAATAAAAGTATTTGCACAGGCAAACAATTAAAAGTGCGAGTGTCTTTATTAACGTCAAACATGAAAAACAATTTCAGAAGTTCAGAATTTTAATATTGGGTCTTAGGTCAGAATAGAACAAGGTTTGATCGTAAAAATACCAGATACCTTATAAATGTAAAAATGCAAGCAATCATGGACAAAAGGTCATGATATTAATTTTTTTCGTATCGGTGAAATATAGGGAAAAGTATGTCGAGTGGAGTGAAAAAGGAAGCTAATATCTTTTAAAGAAGTCATAATGCACACTTTACTTCGAGATGTGTATGTTAAACTTACATTTTTACAGGTTAATTGCAAATCTTGCAAATATATTTCTTATATTTCTAAGCATAAGTGTTATCCTATTCCTACTCAGTAGTGTGTTGTTGTTTTTTTCATACTTTACTTAAAACTAAGCAATGAGCAGTATTCATCAGTGGTGTTTATAATGTTACTAATGTTATTTAAAATGTAGATGTACTTCACGAGCTTAATTTTAAAATTGTTGAAAAGGTTTGATTGACAAAACTACACTTCATGTGAGCTATATGTAAATGATTATCATCGCTCATTTCTTTCTAACTATTGTATGATGACCAATAATTCTATCTTTGAAACTGAGAGTGAAGATATAATTTAAGACAAACAAGCATTATTTAAAATTGAATTTATTGCACACTTTTTTATGTCATACAGAACATTTGATGTTTTGAACATAGAGAAAAAAATCGCACACAAAATCAGTTTAATTTATTTTTCGTGGGTTTTTTTAACCCACGTCTCACTAAAAATAAAATGTGGGGTTTATCATGTTTATTATCCCATAATTTTTTATGTGGGGTAAAAAAACCCATATTATTTCTCTTAATGCTTGTAATTATTATCAAGTGAGAATTATAAAATAAATATTGTTTGGAGTTGCAACATAAATTAAGTACAATACATGTATATTTTTTATAAACTTTGTAACAATTTAATTAATTAATTTTTTTTTCAAATTCATTGATATACAGTACCTGGCCATAAGTGAGTCATAATTTTATTTTTACACTGTCTATATATTTCATTGAAAAACCTATTTTCATAAAAACTTGTTGTGAAGTCAATTTTAGCTCAATTTTCATGATTT